TATTTTATTATATATATATATATATATATATATATATAAAAAAATGACTGAATCTGATTTGCATCACATATTTATATATATATATATATATATAAATATTAATCACACACACACACTAAACAAACAAAGGAAAGGGAACTAGAAAAAGATATGTTCTCCATCGATATGAAACATTTTACATTATTTGAACCATACATTTATGCTGGAGACAGTACTATTATGTATGAGGTCTCATCCATGTACACATTCTATGGTTGCCATTATTTTGATCATAATAGTTGTCTTTAAGGATTACAGTTAATAATTACATATTGACAATTCTATGCTGGAGCTTTTCATTGCTGATGTTTTCTTCCTTTTTTGCTTTAGCTGAAGAGTGCATTTTCAGTGGGTTTTATTTTTACCTTTGAATCTTTAAAAATTAAAAAAAAATGGGGGGAGAGGGGCATATGAATAATTAAAACAAATCCACCTAGAACCCAAACAAAAATCTTCTTGGTCCCATATACCATTCATTTTCCTTTTCCAGCTCTCTTCATACCATACTACTTTCAGCTACCTCTCCAATGCTGACCCTGACATCAAGGTCATCTTAGTACAAATAATGGAATTAACAATGCATCCAAGGTGAAATTCATCTCTTTGCAGAGGACTGGCACAAGGGCTATGCGCTGCTTAAGTGCCACTTAAGCCTACAGGTCTTCCTTGATTTATGTAAAGAAACTGAAATCCACAGCCATTTAAGTGGCACTTAAGCAGTGCATAGTTCCTTGCACTGGCCTTCTGCACCGGGGTGAGTTTTATGTCCAATGCAAAGGGTGGGATTGTAAGTGACTTAACACACATTCCATTGAAAGTCACCTGTAACTTCATACTGTGTAAATCTTTCTTCTATTCCCATGCTCTTTGCCTACTGTGATTTCTCCCTGTGTCATTTATATGCTCTATCTAGCCTAAATTTTCAGGTCATGGGCAAGAACTAGAAATTTTCCACTTAATGCAGAATAATCAAAATCTTAATGAATGGCCTGCAGTTATGAGTTACTGTACTACAAGTCTTGTGTTTAAGGCTGGTTATACTACAAGCTAGGGTGTGATTTTCCCCCCTGCTCACACACACATATTTGCACTAGCTCTCATTGATCTGGCACGAGTATAAATAGTAGTGTATCCGCAGTAGCATGGGCAGCAGCAACAGAGGCATGGCTGACCCACCTACAGTATAAACCTGCCTGAAACTGGTGGGTGCAGCTCTGCTGCTGCTACCTGTGCTACAGTGGCTATGCTGCTGGTTCTACTCACGCTAGCCCAGGGACAGAAACTGTACGTATGTGTACATGAGCAAGGGAATCGCACCCTAGCTTGTATTGTAGATGTGGCCTAAATGAGCTGTAAAAAGGATGTGGTGACAACGCAGGAAAGGAAACAGAACGCCAGGTCTGTGGTAGCCGAAAAGCCCCTCTACCTCCAGGAACTTTTCCTGGGGCTTTTATTCTTTACACTTCCCTGCTTACAACGCTTCTCATTGGTACAAATCTTGCGCATAGAAAAGCCAGGCAGTATATATGCACATAAGATAACGAACCCATCTCTTGAGCGCGTGAATGCCAGCTGCGAGGGTACAATCAAATCAGCCAAATAAGTTTCCCAAACACAAACGCTGGATTGAAGGTCACTCCTGCCTCATAGCCATGGGAGCAGTTTGCTGCGCCTGTGGGCTGACGATTCGGGAGCTATGCATCCCTACAAAAGGAGATACCTTCGCTTTGATGTATAAAAGCAGTATTAGAGAGAGTGTTAGGGAATGCCCTTCCTTAAAAAATAGCTGTGCTGCTGTTCTAAATTGGTGTTAGAAAGGTCAAATCTTTTGAAATAGAAAACTTTAATGCAGTGGCTTACTCTTGTAATAAGGCAATAGGTTTTCGTTTTGCCTAACTGATCTACCAATTCTAGAAACCACAGTGTGCCTTATCAAATCCAAACATTTGCTTAAAATGTAAAACTATGATTCTGCTGAGGTCAAAATAATGAAAATCAGATGCCATGCACTGTATTTGGATAGTTCCATTTGACAGAAGTGCTTGCTTTACTTTTATGAGGTTACTTTGATTTCTTACCTGACCACATCCAGTAAATTCCAAAGGAAAAATAAAACGCACACAATATATTTCCCTTGAACTTCTTCTTGACTGGTGATGACAACAAATAAAATGATGATTCTCTCAGTTATCTGTCAAGAAGAAAATAATTACAGTAATAATGACCTTCTACTTGTATGTATGGTTTGTGTATCTCTGATTTCTGCATCACTTCAGCAACAAGGATGCCATGACACACTAGTGTACTAGGTTTGCGCCACAGCTCAGAGAGAGCCGAGAAGTAAGTCCAATATCCCCTTACTTTCCTTCAGTTTAGGTCCCCAGGCTGCATTCATGTCTTTAGCAGTACCAAAAAAATCCTGAAGGCCTGTGTAATCCTTCCAAAAGACTGACGTTAATCCACTCTGAATTATACTTGCATTGAAAGTGTTTAAAATATAGGGACAAATTCTCAGCTGGTGTAAACCAAGATAGCTACACTGACATCATACCAGCTGAGCAACTGACCCACACAATCTGTTCTGTTAACTCTTATAGATTTAAATTTAATGGGCAAAGTATCTACCCACTATGAAATGAACACTGCGTAACTAGAATATAATGAAATTGTCTGTACAGCACTTTTTCTATATCTTATTTACCAGTTCCTGTGTGGAACTCTGGGCACAGACTATAATTTTAACAAACAACAAAACTCTTCCACATCTGTCAGATAAAGCAAAATGTTCACACAGCAGCTTATTCTTCAAATTCATGCGAGGACACATTTCCTATTGCCAGCTCCTAGTCATCTAGAAACAGAACACAGCCCTCCCTGATGGATCCAGTTCCTCATCTTGAAAATCTTTAAAGTATGCCACAAATTTTAATCTTTGCTCTCTGGCCATTTCTTCCCCTTCAGATGTTAACACTGGAAGTAAATTCTTGAGGGGAGTGAATCAAACTCCAGTCTCAGCCAGTGAGCAAAGCTTAAAGGGATTGACAGAGCAGCCTTCAGAAATTATTAAACTAAAAAGCTGCCAGCAACAACCCTGCTTAAGTCAATGGGGTTCCTCACAGGCTCTCCGGGATCTGTCAACAGAGAGCAACTGACAGGGTTAGTACCTTAGTAAATTGGGAAGGAAGTAGGGTGGGGTTTTTTTGTTTGGGGTTTTTTTTTTTTTTGGTTTAAAGAAAAAAACCTGTTTCTTTGTGTGTAAATGAGGGTTTGCATGTAGCTTCTTGTTCTCGCTCTTACAATCCCTAATTGACTATGGTAAAGTATTTGCCTTGATACTCTTAAAAAAAAAAATTCCACTAGAAACCATGTCTTTTCATGTCCTTAAAAAGGGAGAAGGAAGCACGTGCAGTCATTTCACAAAACGTAAACAGCATGGTTTCATTTTTCATTCGTCCTCATTCAGTACATGAAGATCAAAGTGGAATTTCCTTTCTCTCACGGCTACCCCATCACAGCATCCACTCAGTTCTGTACACGACTCATGTTTCCACAGTATAATTTGACCATTTTAAGAGTGAGCAAGACAGCAATATATCAAATTCATTTAGGACAAAATAGATTGTACAGGGAGGGATTGTGCACATTGTAGAGCCACAATGTTCATCCTTCAAATCTCTCCTTAAAATTCACCCTGGCTGTACTGTCTACATAACAATGCCCCATGGCCAGGCTACCAATGTGCTATGATCACTGCTTGTTACACTTATCATAATCATATTAACTGTTACCTTGTGCTCCCCCATCCATCTGTTATATACACTTGTCTTTCATCTTATACGGTAAGCTCTTTGGCACAGCGACCATGTCTGTGTACATGAACAGTGCCCTGGAGGAGGCCTCTAAGTGTATGTCCTTAGGTGCAGAGTTAGCCTGGGTAATCAGTGCCCAGGCTTAGCCTAACTCAGGTATAAGCGGTCACACTACACAGCCACACTCAAGTTACTGCATCCTCACCGGTGCTGCACTCAGCCAGGAGTGGTGCTAGGACTTCTGGCAACATATCCCATGGTTCTTTGTGATCCACTCTGATTCTTTCAGAGTGAATTGTGGAGTAATTTGTCTGTCCTTCTGGGCACATGAGGGAAATTGTGGGAAGCCATTGAAGGACTGAATCAACACTTGAGTGATTTAGCCTGTATCTTTGCTGCAAAGTGGGCAGATTACCAGCTTGTAACTCATACCCCCAACTGTGCCAGCTTGCCTGGGTTGAAAATAACCAAGTGAGTTTTTTTTTTCCCCACCCATTTCTTTGTATGGACAGGAGGAAGGAGCCTGGACTACTCTGCAGTGAAGACACAACTTAAGTGCAACTATAATACAAATAATACCTGCTCATATCCTCAATCCTCCTATCCTGCTCAATATTCACCTGTTAAGGAATAGGAGGTGTAGCGTTCTTGCTCTTACAGTTCCTAGAGAGGAAGACTAAAAACTCTCAAGTTTAAGTTAACTCCAAAGCAGAGAACAAGAGAGTTCCTAGGAGAACGTAACAAAATTCTCTTGTTCTCTGCTAGAGCACATAGTTCCTGTCTGTTCTCTTTCTTTACTCCCACAACAAAAGGTATGCACTTAAATCCCTATAAAATGTCACAATGCCTGGAGCCTTTTGTAAATTGATTATATCATGTCTGGATTGTGCTAACTTTGACCTTTAATCAAAGAATAGAACTGCTCTTTCTGCCAAGCCATAGCCTTTCCTCTCTGCCTGCCTGCTCCTCTCTAAAAGAGATCCTCCCCCTCAATGCGCACCCGCAAACCGCAACAAACCTGTTGAACTGCTGGGAAGGGTTTCTCAGCCACCACATTGCATTCCAGTTGCCATTCCTCCTCACATGTGATTGGGCATGTGGTGCCTCCCTATTGCTCATTCCTGCCTTAGGAAACTGGTTAGGAACTGGCAGCTGAGGGAAGTGGGGAGAATTCAACCCCTCAGGATTAGCTAGTCTCCTACTGACTATAAACACTGCTCCAGAAAGCACACTCAGTTGCCCATGGAGGGAATCTTCCCTTCGTTCTCCTCTACTAGTCACCCAGTAGGTTACATTTTGTTTTTATTTTGCTCTTTTCCATTATACATTTGGGGATTCTGATACTCAACATGCTGGTCTGGTGATGAGCATACACTTAACTGTAGGGAAGGGGCAAGGAAGTGAGTTTGAGTTGCTGGAAGTTACCCCAGTATAATTCCTAATGTATTCTGTCCTGCAAGTATCTCCTGGGCGCCAACTGCATCTCAGGTTAAATCTGTATGTCAAATCAGAAAGAGCCAGGGATTCTTTGGTACAGTATAACTTGACTTACCTGTAAAAACCTTGGGAGAAAACGGTTTTCTTCAATGCCAACTAGGATGTGCAGGAGCTCTAATATGGACAACGACTGACAAAGGCGCATTACAAGTCCTATAGAATAGAAGGTATCGGCCAGAGAATCTACAACCGCAGGGGAGAAGAAAACAGTGCCATTAGTTAAATCTCTGAATCCTTTCCATGCCAAGCCTCAGATATGACCACCGAGGCGTCAAAAAGTGAAGTTCACATGCCACCGACCTTTTGAAACAAAAAGAAGCCACAGAAAGGATGTCTGGAGAGTAGTATTCATAGTGGGGAAGCTAAGGAGGGCATGGAATAGTCTACATCTGACATACCTTTTTTAGTTAAGTGGCTGTAATGAACACTGAATAAATCTGTGCAGGACCTGGATATTTGGTTTCAGAAACATTCCTCTGCAATAGAGGACAGTTTGATGTTTCATAAAATATCTGCTACCTGGACTTTATAGTTTGTGTAAACCATTGTCCTTTGTATTCCCACCATCTGTCATTTATTTTTAACTCTGCAGTCAGTCATTTTCTATTATATCCCAGAACTTCAGTCAACATAGGGCCAAATCTAGCTCTGATCTTCCAACATATTACAGTAAGTCCGATCGAATGCGGTGGAATATTAATGTTTCTTAGCAGAAAAAAAGCATAGCAGCAAGAACTATAAAGATAGTGCGGATGTATTGGTATTGGTTTGTTCAACCAATCCGATGCTCATCTGCATCGAACGATGCCGTATTCCATCAATTTATGAAATTATAACTTGACATAGTAACACAAAGAGAGTCCTACAAAGTTGTTTGTTATGTCCAGTTTAGGGTTTTTAAAGTAAAAATGATAAAAGCAACATAAAATGAATAAGAGTCTTACCTTTCCCAAATGACAAGAACCTGATGATCATATTTGTAAATATCCAGGAATGTCCACAGAATTGGATTAAGTAGTAGATGAAGAGATAAGTGTTCATTGTACAGCTGTAAAGGCAGAAACAGTAAAGTAAATAAGCAAACCCAAAATGCATTACTTTGTATGATGTTACAATTTGTGCCAGTGTCCCAAAGCAAATTATACCCCCCACTCAGAATAGGTCTACCACTGCCAGGAAAAGGAGCTGAAACTTTAAATAAGTGTGTATGTCAATAGCCAGAAAATCATGCTTCTTCCTTGTGGACTTACATAAATCAATCTAAGGTGCTTTTAAAGCTGCCATCACTGAGTGCCTCACAATCTTTCATGTATTTATCCTCACAGTACCCTAGTGAGGTAGGGAAATTCTTTGATTCCCATTTTACATAGGGGGAATTGAGAGATTAAGGCTCTGTCTACACTGCAGCTGTGCTGCAGCTGCGCCGCTGTAAGGTCTCCCGTGTAGCCTCTCTCTGCCGGCGGGAGAGAGCTTTCCTGCTGGCATAATTAAACCACCCCCAGGAGTGGCAGTAGTTATGTTGGCGAGAGAGAGCATCTCCCACCGACATAGCACAGTCCACACTTTTTTCAGTGAAACTTGTATTTTCCTCACACCTTTGACCAACAAAAGTTTTATCAGCAAAAGTGCGAGTGTAGACTTAGCCTTGATATTTACCTAAGGTGTCACACAGTCCATGGTAGAGCAGGGTCTTAAAGTAGGTCTCCCCCCATCCTAAGCTAGTGCACTAACTACTAAGCCATCCATTATCTGGCATGGTGGAAAACATATTCATGTCCTCCAGGCTTGATTATTGCAACTCATATCTAGGAATTAACCCTCACAGCCTGAATAAAGCTCCAACTGGTATACAATGAATCAGCCCAACAGGCCAACATGAAAATATCATTCCAATGTCCTGCTCTCCGTGCTATTTGCCCACTGACTACGGAATCCAACTCAGGCTCTCCCTCCTGATATACATGGGATTGGCCCTGGGTGCCTGGAAGATCTCTTCTCCAATCCGAGAAGAGATCTTCCAGGCAACCAGGGCCTTCCACAACGGTTATGTTTTACTGAAAGCATGTAAATGTCAACCAACAGTGGGAGTTTTGTGAGCATGGGAGACCAAACTCTCACAGGAGCTGGACCTAGACTGTGGAATTTGCTCCTGCAAGGTCTAAGGATGATCCAGACACTGAATGATCTAAATCAGAATTAAATGCAAACTCATCTCTTTGACATGACTTTCCCTTTGTTATGTGTGAGAGAGGAAGACAGACATTACAACCAATCAAACTATTTTCTACAAGCCAGGAAGGAAGGAAATTGATGTTATTTCTATTTTCCAGTACTCGGAGGTGCTCCAGTGTTATGACAATGGGAGCTATAACACATACATTCATACAAATGCCTTATGGAAAAGTCCTATACAGTTTAATAAAAATGATGCCAACAGGGATGTATAGATATCACTCTAAAAACCTACAGATTTAATAGTGGCTGACATACTCTCTGTTGTGCAGCTTACTGCACTAGGAAAAAAGAATCCCTAAAAGGGAAAAATAATAAGTTACAACAGAAAATGAACATTGCTCTGTCAAGTACCATTAATAACCAGTAACTGGATCCGTAGATTATAACAATAGGAAAAGTATGAACAAGTTGTTAGATATTTTGAGAGGTTCTGGTAAGATCCTCCATTACTTAGTCACAATCAGTTTAATGATATAAACACAGTGCAAAGCCCAGGTACTATCCTTTGTAATTCATATATTCTCTCTCTGATATGTACAATTTGTAGCATTTGTCTCCTTGTCCTCAATATAGTTTGAAACTATTCCAAGAATTTTGGGGTATTCCTCTGAATCTTTCATCAGCCAAATAGCTGGATAATGTTGGCTGCAAATACTGTGTACTCTTAAACCACTTATGTGACAACAAATGGTAACCAAGAGGAGGTTTATAAATACTATGGGCCAGTGTTCTCCAATGTTTGGCCAATATACTTGTCATTTTGTTTTAAAACTCATCCTGATGAGCCGTGTAAGTGTATTAGGGACTATGTTGTAACTGGCATCAATACATAATGTCAGTCACTAACTGCAGCACCCAAAATTAAAAGAGCTTAAAATTATTTAAATGAAGGGTTGACCTGGAGGATGGCATTCCACACGGTCTTATGAGGGACCACATTGGACTCTGGGGCTTTCATATACCAGGCTGACAGTGGCTAAGAACATTGTGTAAGTAGCACATTTAGGCTGTTAGTTGGGAGTACTTTACTTCATTCCACATGGACTTCTGGCACTAAACAAGAAGTGTCTTTGAGGAGCTCCAAGAGGAATCTTATCCAGCCCTCTTCACCCATGGAAGGTCCCTACCATGCAGGGCCTTTGAGGGAAGAGGGGAAAGCTGTTGAAGAAAGATGATTTAAATGTAATGAAAAATAATAAAGTAGAAAGTTTAATTGTTTTGCTACAATATTTCCTATATGTGAGTTGCAGCATCTTTTATGTCTGAGGAGCAAAAGAAATGTTCTGAGAGGGAACCTATTACACAGGTCTGATGCAAAGCTCCACTGTCATCTGTTTCCACTTAAGGGGTTAATGTCAAAGGTGGTTGGCTTTAATTAAATTTCCTGCTTTTTTGGGGTCACAGCAGGAATCCATCCACATTTACATTGGATTGCCTGATCCTGCAGCATTCCTAGAGATAGAGCATGGCCTACTGGATAAAGCACAGGATGGGATGTCTGGAGATAGCTGTTCTATTCCCACATCTGTCACACGGACTCACTGTGCCTTTGTTTCACCATCTGTAAAATGGGGATGACATACTTCTCAGGGGTGATCTAAGAAAACATCCCTTAATATTGTCAAGTGCTTTTAAAATCCTCAGATGAAAGGTTCTATAGGAATATTATGCATTTCAATACCCTGCCTGTTTTGAAAATTGAATGGAGAGACAGAGTGATATGCATCACTGCAAACAAATCTAGCCACCTGAGTTTATTATGGACAGTGCTTTAGTTGTAATTTTTATAAAGTTATAATTATTAACTTGCCCAAATACATTGAAACCTCTATGATGCTGTGACCCAGTGGTGGATCCCAACATGTTCAGAAGAAGAACTTTGCTTTTTCTTGCACACCCACAGGTCTGGAAAAGTGAGAGACTGCATTAGATATTCGGTCTCTGTTTTCCCTCAGCATGATAACTTGCAAGACGGGGGTGTCCTATTTCTTCCTAAAATATACAGGCAGATAGCATATACCTGCTTATGCTTTAGTTGTCCAGCCAAGAATATGAGATTGTAACAGCATTATAGTTTTAGTTTGAAAAGTCAGATTTTTTCAGGAATAGGATGATTACAGAACTACATATTACTACTACTCTTATTATTTAATAGGATTGTGTTTCTGTGGGGACTGTCACCATTAATACCTGGGTGTCTGCATTTGACAGTGGGCTTGTAAACCTCCACCATACCCTCTTAAGGCTTCTCTCCGTTATGATACTAAATAGTACATCCAAAGGACAGAGATCATGACAACCTGGGTAGGGGTGGTGTGGGCACAGACTGCAGCCAGGGTCACTTCCTCCTCCAACGGAGGAATCTCCCAGAATAGCTTAAAGAGCTAAACAGTACCCCCTGTTAGTACCTATACAGTTCCACACAGCCCCCAAGGGAACACTTGCTACTTAATGAAATAGACACTGATGAACCAATAGCTCATGGAAACTGAAGAACGAGGGGTTTTTAAAAAAATAAAAAATGAGAAGCTGGTAGAAAACCCCCTCTGCTGCCCTGGTTTCCATTGTCATAGTGGTCTGAGCTCCTAGTTTAACACTCCCCCTCCCCCCAGCTTTACAGCTCAGGAGTGGGGGGGGGGGGAGGGACAAAACTGAAAACCAGCACGAAAAACATGTTTCCTCCTGCACGCATATCCCTCCCCCGCTTCTCTGCAGTTGCGCGGGTTGAATAGCTTGTTTTTTACCTTTGCTCAAGAGTTACTAGATGGTGCGGAGATGAGTCGCTCCTGTGTCTGTCTCTCTCCTTCTCTGGTCACAGCTGCAACAGCGGTTTTCTAGGAGGTTACCCCTCCTCCTTTCTCCCCCCAGCGTCACTGAAAGCAGCACTACAGCGAAGGAGACACTTTCCTAGTAAAAAGGAAGGAACCACTAACTCAAGGGATCCTCGTTCATTTTATCATTCTTCTACAGGCACTAGCTCAGGCATGTTTCTTGCCTTATTACAAATAGTTCCTCTGGATTCAGTTCCACTAGTTTTTGTGGTTAGTCAGAAGGGATAGTTTCAAAGGCCAGTTGAGAATAAGCATGCAAAATTAAATGCACATTATTCTGGAGAAGACAGAAGCCAGTTAAACAAGTATCCATAAATAGAAGAGAACATGATGGTATTTCATTTTCAGCAGACTCAAAGTGACTCCAAAGCAAATAAATATGCCACATAATGCTGTTTCTATTATTTTGCTGGAAATGGAGACTGCACTTTTTATGCCTATAGTTTGGAAATGTGCAGATGTTTGGTCAGATGCGATCCTGTATATACAAGATTTGCTGGGTGCGTGTGATTTATTTGATCCAGATGTTTGCATTTTAAATAATTTAGAATATATTAAATAACTTGACATGACAAAATATATCAAAGTAGCATTGTCAGTAGCAAGAATACACATAATGAGACACAGGACAAAGCAATCTACACAGTCACTGATGGAGTACATTAAGGGAATGAATGTGTGTCCCATTAGACTATATTACTTATCACTTTAGAGGCCATCCAGACGCATTGCAGAAGTTATGCTACCTATATTTCATTGTTTGATATAATTTAATCTGTAGCTTATTACAATGCTTTACCCCATATTTTTGTAACGTTTTAGCTGATTTATCCACTTATAAATATTGCAAAATTAGAGCCAGATAACCAAGAGGTAATAGGAGTGTTTGGGGCATGGAAATACTCGCAATTGTAGAAAGATTGTAAAGACAAACTGAGGAGATAAATCAGAGGGGAAACGTGATCAAAATATACAAAATAATTAATGGTCTACAGACGGTAAGGAAGGGACGTCTGTTTCCCTGCCTCATAGTACAAGAGCAAGAGGATATTCAGTGACATTGTGACTCAAAATGTGGGGGAAGAGCAGAGCTACTCCCTTGCCATTGCCCATAGAGTAGATAATGAGGAAGTGAAGGGTGGAGAGTGGGAGGAACCGTGGCTCATTTCTCCCATCCCCAGTGAGAGTAGCTGGCTGGCTGCACAGCAAAGAGTGAGCTGATGGATAAAAAGGGGTGAAGTAACTTAACTGCTCCCCACAGCAGGAGAGGAATTGTGACTCATTCTCTTGGCTGCTCCTGGAGCCATGCAGCTGTGCATTCTCCCTCACTCAGGGAAAGTTATAAGATTACAGTAGCCCAGGGGCAGGCAAACTTTTTGGCCTGAGGGCCACATCGGGTTTCCAAAATTGTATAGCGGGCCGGTTAGTGGAGGCTGTGCCTCCACAAACAGCCAGGCGTGGCCTGACCCCACCCCCATCCAACCCCTCCTGCTTCTTGCCCCCTGATGCCCCCCCCCCGGGACTCCTGCCCCATCCAACCCCCCTGTTCCCTGTCCCCTGACTGCCCCCCGCCACCTCCATCCAACCCCTCCTCATTCCTGACTGCCCCCAGGGCCCCCTGCTCCCATTCAACCCCCCTCTTCCCTGCCTCTGACTACCCCAACCCCTATCCATACTCACGCCCCCTGACCACCACCCCAAACTTCCCTGCCCTCTATCCAATCCCCCCCGCTCTCCGCCCCCTTACCGCACTGCCTGGCGCACCGATGGCTGGTGGCGCTACAGCCACACCGCCCGGCTGGAGCCAGCCACGCTACTGCGCAGCACAGAGCACCGGGTCAGGCCAGACTCTGCAGCTGCACTGCCTCAGGAGCTTGCAGCCCCGCTGCCCAGAGCGTTGCCCCAGCGGCAGAGCAAGCAGAGGCTGCAAGGGAGGGGGAACAGTAGGGGAGGAGCCGGGGGCTAGCCTCCCGGGCCAGGAGCTCAGGGGCCAGGCAGGAGGGTCCCGCGGGCTGTAGTTTGTCCACCTCTGGTCTAGCCCAAAAGGAAGAGACATGGAGCTCTATGTTGTGGTTTTTAATGCACTGTACACAAACAATAACCACATCCCTAAAGCCTAAGAGCTGTGAGCAAAGTAGTTGTTTAAAAATAAACTCTTTCCAAACTTTTATTTGACAAGTACTTTTGAATCTTAAATACCTTCGATTTGGGGGCCTTATTCTTTGAATCTTTGTGAGAGTGATTATTTCAACCAGACATTGTACTAAGAAAGATAAAATTGTCATAGCGGAACAGGTAATAGAAAAAGTTAATTGGAATATTTAAAAGGTTTCTCTTGCTCTGGTCTTCTCTGCTTCTGCAGAGAGGTTATCTGAGTTTTGTGGCTTGGTGTCTGGAATCTAAAAACATGGTTATCATAAGTCAGGGCAAAACAAATTACTATGGGGCAGATTGTGAGTCTCATACGTAGTGAGCAGTTACATGAATAGTTCCACTTGATTTCTGTGGAACTACTTGTCTGAGTAATTGCTTACCAGTGTGGGCAAGGCTCACAATCTAGCCCTAAACATTAAGAGCCCAGTCTGGCAAGGTGCTAAGTGCCACTCGCCAAGTCCTATGCGCCTTCAACTCTCATTGACTTCTGACCAGGGCAGGGAGACTCTCACCACTTTCCAGGATCTGGCCCTAAATTAAAATATTCACCATCTTAAAGCAAACTTTTTGATTCTTTATGCTGGGCTGAAAGGTGCTAATAGCTGTCATAGAGGGAATCTTGGATCCAAAGACAATTATAGACCTCATTAAAGCCAGTGGATGTGCCAACTGCTCTCTTGCAGGCTCAATAGGAGTTGCAAAAAAAAAAAAAAGGGGGGGGGGCGGCGCTACTGCCCCAGGAAATACTCTATTTCAGGTCAGAGCTAAACCATGTGGACTAAGCTGTTTCCCTGGTTGCAAAAGCAGGGGCTACACTATTGGTTTGTGTGCTATGTTTGAGGCAGAGGAAAGCCAGGAGAAGAAGTGAGCGTGACTGTGAGAAGAAGCAGAGAGATAGAGCTTCTACAGCAAAGAACTCACTAAAGCAGCGATTGTGAGGATTTCTGAGCAAAGGAACTGCCTGCTGTTTCTACTGTGTTCATTTTTTTGTAAATAAAAAAAGTTACACTGAGAACATCCCTAACTCATAATCAATTTCTTATCCTAATGGAAACAACCCTGCAAACCTAGCCACCTGGGTGAAAGGGGTAACACTTAGGTCTAGAAATGTGTGTTTATTCATGTCCACGTGAAATAAAAAGACTATCAGAAGAGAAGTGTTTCAGAGTAGCAGCCATGTTAGTGTGTATCCGCAAAAAGAACAGGAGTACTTTTGGCACCTTAGAAACTAACAATTTTATTTGAGCATAAGTTTTTGTGGGTTACAGCCCACTTCATCGGATGCATAGAATGGAACATATAGTAAGGAGATAGATATACACATACAGAGAACATGAAAAGGTGGGAGTTGCCCTACCAACTCTAAGAGGCTAATTAATTAAAAGAAAAAACTTCTGTAGTGATAATCCAGATAGCCCATTACAGACAGTTTGACAAGAGGTGTGAGGATACTTAACATAGGGAAATAGATTCCATGTGTGTAATGGCTCAGCCATTCCCAGTCTCTATTCAAGCCTAAGTTGATGGTGTCTAATTTGCATATTAATTCAAGTTCAGCAGTTTCTCCTTGGAGTCTGTTTTTGAAGCTTTTCTGTTGCAAAATTGCCACCTTTCAGTCTGTTACTAAGTGGCCAGAGAGGTTGAAGTGTTCTACTGGTTTTTGAATGTTAGGATTCCTGATGTCAGATTTGTGTCCATTTATTCTTTTGCGTAGAGACTGTCCGGTTTGGCCAATGTACATGGCAGAGGGGCATTGCTGGCACATATCACATTGGCAGATGAACGAGCCCCTGAGAAGAGAAGTGGTAGCTGATGGAAGAGTCCTTGACTGTACAGCTCAGGTGGAGCAGAGCTGCCAGAAAGCTAGAGGAAGTTCAGGGGACCTGAAGCCAGTGAAGAGATTCTGGGAGCTAAACTCCTCAAAGGAATGATCTAGAGAAAACTCTCTGAGAGGAACCTCATGGAGTTAACCTTAACTACCCTCTCCTGTAGCTCTTTTTATGTGAGGAGGGGATTTGACCTATACATTGCACTTTGGTACTCACCCTCTGACACAAATGCAAACACGGTTTTGGATTTGGGGAATAAATTTGGGGAAACTTTATCACCTCAGACCATAGGATATTAATCACGAACTTAACACCATACAGCCAAGTACTCTTACCATAGAATAAAAGCTCATTTTTTCAATAATGGATCTTAATCCATTTATAATTTATAAAAATCAGAGCTGCACAGAAGTCACTTGAGTTTATGATGTAGTAAAGAAATGCTATCATTTGAGTTGACCACTGTAAATTATTGTTTATATTGCTGTTTAAGAAGCTGAATCTAATATAAAATTCTACAGTTCATTTTAAAAATCAATTAATGGGAAAATGTCAATTTTTTTTTAAATGGAGCTTTTTTTACACAAAAAAAAAAAATTCCAACGTCTAACAGAGGACCCTTTAAATAATATCCTTTAATTGTTTTTTTAATTCATTAACTCTTACCAGGGCTCTTTTGCTTCCCAGCTGATGCCTAGAAAAGTCTTTTTCAGCCCAGCAAACCCTCTTTGAATGTGTGCATGATGCTGCAACAGGACGCATTCTCATCACTAAGGCAATGGTGTAAATTCTATGATGGAGCAGCAAAAGTTTAAGATATTCCAAATAATAATAAAAAAATCTGCAAAAGAGCCAGTGGGATTTTTGTCCAGATAAGGAGTTCAGGGCTGTACCCAATGGTGGAGATGGCTAAATGGACAACATTGTGTGTTAGGAAAGCAAATAATACAAAACAAGGTGTACGGTATTATTTTTACAGTGGAAATTATTTTAGGTATTTTTAGCAGTTGAGGAAACATTTTTGTTTTATACAAATAAAGTTTTCCAGATATTTCGTATCAAGGAAGACAAACTATAAACAGACAGTATTCCAGCTATAGTCCAAAGGAAACTACTCAGCCTCTGGCCTGCCAAGATAAGAAACCTTAGGACTACAGCTGATAGTAAGAGCAAAAGCAAATGACTCAGAAGCAAGGCTGGATTTTCTTAAGTAATTGGAAGTATGAAAAAAACGTTTCTGAAGAAAAAAAAAAAACACATTTAACAAAGACAGAGGATAAGAAGAAGGTGAATTTTATGACACTGATAATGAAAATATATGGCCTGATTTTTCAGAGGTGCTGCGTGTTTACCATATCCTGTGGCTCTTTTAATAGGAGAGGGTGATCTAGTCCATAGATTGCATTTTGATTCTCACCATCTGACACACAAATGCAAAAACTATACTCCATTCATTGTTTAGGCATGTGGATGTTTTGAATAAATGGCCCCTGAAACATTATCCTCTCCCACCACAGGATATTTATCAACCAACCACCTCACTGACTTCAGTGGTAACTACAAGTGCTCAGCCCTTCTGTAACTCAAACCTTTATTGTGTTAGAGGATTGAGGTTGCTAATTATTTGACCAATTACAGTGTTAAATCCAGTAGGAACAGGTTTTTTTGTTTGTTTGCTAAAATGGTTCCATCTCCCACTCTGCTCATGTGTAAATATCCCATAGTAAATAGTCACCACCACCCCCCAAAAAGAGAGAGATCTAAAAATAAACTTTCCAAATCTTACCCAATAACCCACTACCTTCTTTTATTGCCCTTATTCAAGCAACCACTAATATCTTCCAATCAGTAAAGGGAGGGAGGAGAGGAGGAACAACACCTTTCCAACCTGAAATTAGGACTCAAAAATCCGTATTTATGATTTTTCAGAACTGCCGAGCACCTACAAATATAAATTATGTCAGTAGGAATGGAGCATATTCCACACCCCTAAAAATTCAGGTTACTTTTATTTATTAAGTTTTACATTTAAATATGGATCTAGGAACCTAACTTTAGGCACGCATGTTTTAAGCATGTCAGCCTGAGCACACAAATTAGCCTTGCAGCACAGCCCGAAGGTCAATGCATTCAGGTTCCAGCCAACTAAGGCACGAATTGAATTCTACATAGGCTTTGAAGTCCCCTCTGCAAGAACCCCTTGCTGCAGTCCCCTCTCCTCCCCCCGCAATTAAACCCGGAGGTTCTTAGCTCACATGTCTGATGATCTCTGCTATCACAGTAACACGTAGGAAGAAGAAAAGTGATCTCTGAGCTCTTGAAGACCCACTCCCTTTATAGTCTTAAATTGCACCCGGAAACAAAGTAAAATCCAGCATGCAGCGTTTTGGGGAAGGAAATCCAGCGTCCACATGTGTACAGCGTTAATGCTTAGCAGGGAGCTTTCCTCACAGCCCCAGCGCGGAACTAACCTACAAAACCGTGCCTAGCAGAGTTGGTCTTAAATGGACACATCTTTTCATCCCGCCCCCAACCCCCAGAGGCTTTTCAAGGGCCAATAAGCATTCTTCTTTAGAGCTCTGGTTCGCATACAAGCAGCAACGTGATTACACCCCGGTACAGCGTACGGTCATTTTGGTTGTATTATGTCGACATTCAAAAACCAATTGGGCACCTCTATTTCCAGCGACATTAAGGAGGTCTTGCTTTTAGAGAGCTTCCGGAATTTGGATGCATTTTACCGTTAGCATTATTTCTGGATTATTGCTTTTTGCCATTTTCTGCCATATCTTTTTCATGATTGTTATTAGTTCTTCTTGGCTGATCCAAGAATTGGAAGGTATTTGTCTTGTCTCTCTTGCCTTGGGTCTGTGAGCACCCAGCGTTCCTCCAGCAGCCCCTTGGGGTTTTGTTTGGCTTTAGCACCAGGCTTTCGCTCTGAAACTTGTCTTACTCAGAGGCAATGCACCCAGGAGACTTCCTCGTCGCAGCTATGACTAGTTCAGTTAAACCAGCGGGTGCCCTAATGTAGAAGAGCCTCCTGCATCCGGACGTGTTCGTACCAAGATATCTTGCTGTCAGCAGGGTTAGCTGAATTAGCGGTAGAAATCCGCACCAGAAATGGTGACCGCCCCCATTGGGGTATTTTGAGGAGGTTATCAGAATACTTAACCTCCTAAGAAGGTTTCAAAACGCTGGATTCTTTTTAACCAGTTGGACCTACGCGATGTAAATGCAGTTCTTAGAGCAAACCGAGGAATGACGGGAGCTCCCAGACTTCCCCCTTTCATTATTCCTTTGATCACTGTTACTCCCCCATGCCGCCCTCTCGGTGCACCAAGCAAGGCTCTTGCGCCTTTCCTGCAATTACGCCTTTCCCCCACCAGGGGCGGATGTGCCCATTGTGCCCCCCGAAGAGAGGGCCGCTGGCTTAGGGGCTGGAGCCACAGCGCACTGTCCCGGGGGCCAGGTGAGGAGAGCCGGGATATGGGGCCGGACAGAGCGGGGCACACGCACTGGGGCTCAGACGGGCTAGTGGGGGAAGACTAGGCTGGGGCACAGGAGCTAGCAGGGGGCTGGAACAATGTGTATCGTGGGGGGCTGAGAGCCATTGAACCAAACTGTAAACTCTGTGTACCACAGAAATCACTTCAAGCCAGTGGGTGCTGCAGCAACCCAGCACCCCTAGTTCCAGCACCTCTGGGAGCTAGTGGGGTGACAACATTGGGCTGAATGGGAGTGAGGGGTGCAGGGCCATATGGGGACAGGGGCGTTGGGGGTGTAGGGACACATAGAATCATAGAATATCAGAGTTGGAAGGGACCTCAGGAGGTCATCTAGTCCAACCCCCTGCTCAAAGCAGGACCAATTCCCAGCTAAATCATCCCAGCCAGGGCTTTGTCAAGCCGGGCCTTAAAAACCTCCAAGGAAGGAGACTCCACCACCTCCCTAGGTGAGGCGAAGGGCAGATGTGCCTGACCAAATGGGAGAGGCTAGGGGTCAGGCAGGGTCTGCATGAGGGAGGCTCCCCAACAATCTCCCCCCCCCCAAAAAAAACCCTGTTCCAGACTTCTCTCACCACACTCAACAAAACCCCAGGTTCACTCCCAAGTACTTTCCCAACAATTACTTCCTCTTCTCTCAGCTTCTCCAACACCCTGGACTCCCCCCAAGCCTTTGCACTGCTTCTCTGGGGTGCCAGAAATTTCTCTCTCACACATACATACACACAGTCTCCCCCCGCCCCCCACATCTATGAGGAAATTGCTGACTCCTTATTGGGGTGAAAGTTAATCTAGGGCAGTGGTTCTCAAACTTTTGTACTAGTGACCCCTTGCAAGCCACTGAGTGTGACCTTCCCTTATAAATTAAAAACACTTTTTAAATATATTTAACACTATTATAAATGCTGGAGGCAAAGTGGGGTTTGGGCTGGAGGCTGACACCTCACGACCCCCAGTTTGAGAACCCCTGATCTAGGGAGCTTCCCCGTTGAAGTCTTATGGCACCCGCTATCGGTATGCCCAAACTGCGAATGCTTATGCCTGTAAGTAGTTCTGTTATTGTCAACGGGGTAACTCAGGTGTGTAAGGTTAGTCACAGGCATAAGGGTTTGCAGGATTGTACCTAAAATTTAGAGATTTTAGAAAATATGATGGCACAACAGGCTAAATTCTAAAACTCTTGGTCTCGTCTGCACAGGGAAATTGACTGGAATAGGTAAAGCGAAATAAACTTCCTCCTATTCCCTTGCAATTCTTACTGCTTTAAAGGCACTGAACGATTTTACTGTGGCATTTTAGCTATAATCTCACTTTGCCCTCTAGTGCCCAATGTAGCAGTATTTTCTGCATTGCAAAATATACCTTTGATTGAAATAGATTTCCATACATTTGTAGTCAGCAATGCTGCGGCGATTACATTGCATGATGCAAAAAATAAGAGCGGTTGAGTAGGAACTGAAAAGAGAAGCTTAATGAGCTGAGAGTTTATGGGATGATTAGAGGACCCTGTGCTAACATCCTGTCACTTCTCACAGCAAAGAAGGGTTGGATTGGATTGAGGCTTGAATGGGGCATACTCGGAACAACCTCAGAGCTTTATAACATGATATTCATGATGTCCTAGCTAACACTTCGATCTGAGGGCTCAGTCCTGCAGTCCTATGAATTCCTATTGATTTCAAAAGCAATTTTGCCTGCTTAAGCACTACAAAATCAAGCTCCTGTACTAAGAACATGCACAGCAGGATGCTGGGAAGTATTGCGCTGTGCAGTCCTGATCAACATGTGTCATTAAAGATCCTAGGAGTCTTTTCCTGAGACTAGGTGTGTTAATGGACAAATTAATTTTGAAGTAATTCTTTTCAGCTTTCCTGAATCTCCCCCAGGTTCAGTTGGATATTTACTGTATTCTTCACTTCCTTTCTTAAACTGTTGTGTAGTTTTACCATATGCTCTTTACTAATTACTGTGAGTTCTAACATTTAACATTTTATGTAACTTATATTTCAATAAAATTTGCCATTTAGATTTCAACATAGTATGTTGCAGCAGCATGCTAGTGTATCAGAAGCAGGAAGTGAAACTGACAAACTGCATTTTCATAGTATAGGCTTCAAAAAGTGCACAAAGTAGCCAAATAATAGAAATAGCCATACATTTGTGTTTAAACATTCTTGCAGTTGTAATATTTAAGTGTGGTTTTAGTAACATGAGCAAAGAAAGTTAATTTTATAAACCATATTATTTTGACTAGTGTCTCATTCAAAAGGGGGTGGGTTCAGTCTTAACTTTGTTCCTTCAATCTTTCTTTTTTTGTTGTCCCAGATCCTCATTCCTTCTGTACTTGATTGCGTTTGTGATGTTTCTGTTTCAGATCTGCTGTCCTTGGACCTTAGTCTTTTTAGCTGATTCTTGATTTTTTTGCTTTTATCCACAGCTGGATATCAGGGAGGAAAGTTAGTAGGTACATCCTGCAAAGAGATCTGTGCCACCTATACTGTCTTAATGGCTGTGGAATATCATTGTCATCATTGATCTTTTATCAGATTGAATTTTACCATTACAACTTTGCATCCTGGTTTCTTGAACTGCTGAAGATGTGTTTTCCCCTGAATAACACACATCAGATTACTAGGGGAAAACTATGAGCTGAAGCTGAATTCAATTATCAATGATAATTTACTTTGTAATTATTATGTTCAGGACCATGTGGCTTTTGTGTAAAATATGTCGGAATACCAAGGGCTAACTCTTCCCACTGGTTGCACTTCCAAACAAAGGGTAAGGGACAGAAAATTTTAAGTAGTAATAAAATAGTGTGAGTAGTGGTGTGTGTGATTTCAGCAGCCAGCTTGAAGACACACACAGAGCATTAAGAGGTGTAGTTAGCTAACATGACCCTAAGATGTGTCTACACAGGGGAAAATAAGACAGGGTATACATTTAAAACATAATAGGTATTCTGGAATAGCTCCCTGTATGGACACACATATGCTGGAATAAGAGTGTCTGCATGGGGAGCTATTGCAGAATAGTTTATCCTGCAATAGCTGCTCTGGTCAATTTCCCTCTGTAGACAAACCCTTAGAGGATAACTTGAACTGCTTGAACAAAGCAAACATTGGAATTAACCAGACACCGTATCAGATATGCTATTTCCAGTAATGTATCTTGAAAGAGTGCTGAATTATTTTAAACAAAAACATAATTTAAAAAATATATAGCAGAAAAATACCATTATTTTATTTTTAATCCAAATAATTGATTGACATGATTCCTGAAAAGGTCATGGCTTGATGGTTCCTTCAGAATTAAGAGATCTTGTGTAGGCAGGTGAAATGGGAACCAAAATAAGTAGCACACTTTTCTCAGAAGGGAACACTATAGCAATAATGTTCATTGCCATAAAATTACCACTGTCCTATGCAGTCATACTTATTGAAAATTATGTGGGTTATTTTGTGGTTAGTGTGCAATTATTTGTTTAATAAAGAAAGTGTTATTGTTTATAAACAAAATATTTCTTTGCAATAATTTAAATGCAACAATACATAATTGGCAACATATAAATAGTAAGAGAAAACCAGTGAAATTTAACTAGAAGCATTTTCAGAATGTAGGTAGATAATTTTTTTTTCTGATTCCAATTCTCAGATCAAAATGTTTATACCTTAGTTTCTAAGCCTTCCTATAACTTTGTCAATAAACTGAAGACATCTCCTCATTTCCAGGCGGATGATCTCCCAGGAACACAGGCTGTATTGTTTGTCTTTTAAAAAATTATCTATCTTTTGGAAGTACTTTTTCAGTTTCAGTCTAATGATTTCTTCACTTCTTGAGAAGGGTTGTTTTTTCTCCATCTTCTCTGTCAAACATGCCTCCAGATGCTCAATTTGCTGATTAAGTCCATTCTGGAATCTTTCAAGAGATCTTCCATCCCAGGCAGCTAAGGTTAGGTTTTTGGTAAAGATATAGAAGATCAGTTGCAGGATCTCCTGGATTTCCACCTTGG